AAAAAAAAAAAAAAAAAAAAAAAAAAAAAAAAAAGAAGAAAAAAAGAAAAGAAAAGAAAAGAAAAACTAACGTGCTCGGATCCTCTTAATTATTTTCAGAAAGATTAAAATGTTTCTTATAACTATGTTGATGATCTAATCAAGAAAAAGACATATGGGATCATAAGCACGTAAAAAATAGGTTTATGGGAATCCAAGTTCAATTTGATCTTTCTATTTAAGTGTCTTTTTCTGTTTCTACAATGTCACAGAAAAGTGGAGGTTACCAAATCAAATCCAGCTAGCGTACCAATTTCATCTACAATATTTGTTCTTAATTTTGTTGGCGATCATCAGCCACCCTCTTCCCCTCTCTCTCTCGTTTATCCTCGACCCTCTCTTTATTGTTTCGTTTTCTTTTTTTTCTTCCACCAAGCCGCCACTTCCTCCTCCCTCCCCTTCAACGGCTAGCTAGAAGGATGAATAAAAATGGTTCCCTTTTTTAAGGTTTTTTGTCTCAAAGAGGGTTCGTAACCGTTTTTAGGAATCTCTAGTTAATCTCTCTCGATTTATTTCATTGAGTATTGCCTATTATAAAGAAGAAAGACAATGTGGACGTGAAGCCTCGATACCATTGTATTTTGTCAACATGTGATTAAGATGAAATTTTTAACTAATCTTTCTATTTTAAAAAATAAGTGAATAGTGCACACAGTTGTGTTTATTTAGTAGCTTTAGTCGTTTGTTAGGATAATTTTTCTACCATAGTAGCTTTGTGTCTACTCTCATGACAATTAATTAATTTTATAATCTTTAATATTAATTAACTTCTTTTACTTAATTATCTAAATTTAACAGATAAAATCTTCCGCTATTAGTGTTATAAGATCTAAATTTATTTAATTTTCTGATTTAAAAATAAAGTATTATAGGTTCTAACTTCTATCTTTTAATAATAGGAATTGTCATGTGCAATCTCCTCTTTTTTAATTATAACTCCAAGTTAAGTTGTCACGAGTGATCAAAATCATCCGAAGGCCAGTTTCGGATCCAAAGCCTATATTCTTCGCCGCGGCAGCAATATATAGAGCAGCAAACACGAAACTAATCAAGAAGATATTACAATACTACAATTACAATGATATATAATATTATTGACTAAATAAATATTATATTATAGATAAAATTTTAAATAAAAATAATAAATCATAATAATAAATTTGTATATCATAATTATAAATTTTTATATTACCTAATATTATAATTATATTATTTTTACTAAAGATATTATTCAGACAATAATTTCTAAGCTTGTATAATGAAAAAGAAAACTACTTAGCTTACCTTTTGGACGACCGTACAAGGTCTCTATTTTTTCTTTTTTTCTGTTTTTTTTTTTTTTTTGGTTGTTTTCTATATGAATTTGACACATAAGACAAAATGTCCCCACTTCTAAGATTTCCCTTTCAGCCTGTCTAAAAGATCGAGCTCATGTAGTTAAGTCATTAATTCGAATAAAATATAGCTTTTGATGGGAAAAAACTACACATATTATTACTAATCTCTACTTAGTGATATTAATTAATCGATATTTCTAATGGTACTTTTAACCTTTCGGTGAAATCAGTTTTCTTGCCATCTTTCGGTGAATTAATTTATTCACATCCCTTAACAGAAGACAATAAAATTAACTTAAAATTTACGTGTAACGTTATTATGATCTTGGGTGTCCTCTGTTTTGGTTTGTTTTATAATTTTTATTTTTATTTTTATTTATTTAAGGTGAGAGTGTTGTCAGATTAATTTTTGTATATCTCAAGATTAATTTTTTGTTTGACAATTTTAAGAGTAAACCCCTTCTTGGTACATTTTGGAAAATTAATTTTTTAGATATTATGGTATGCCTGCGCAAGAACCTTGTTTCTCAATTGATCAAGAATTTAAACTAAGAGTCTTGAAAATTTTTTATTACTCTCCTAAGCTTAGTCTAGTTAACATTGTTGATCCCTTTAATCAATTACTTGCAGTTTTCTCTTCAAATGGCAGGCAGCTTTTTTTCTTTCAGCATTGTTTATCCAATGACAGCAACCCAAACTTTATGAATGACATAATTATAATAACTAATACGTTTTGCCCGTGGATCTTGTAAAATTTGCGTGTGCAAACATGTATAAGGTTTTCTTGAATTCAGGAGGCCTTCCAACATGAAATTTTTAATTGTAATTGGAAGTGAATGTATACCACTTTTTTTCTTTTGTTTTTCTTTTTCTTTTGTGTGGGTTGTATTTAGGATAACTTTTGGGTTTAATTCATTGGGTTAAGAGACTATATTAATTTCTTTTGTTTTGAGGATTATATGTTGTTTTTGGAGTATTCCTTATACTCCTAATTAATGTATCTTTCTTCTTGGTTTGCTGATAAAATATACATATATATATATATTAATTTAGCTAAAGGTGGAAAGCAAAACTTGGTTGGGGCCAAATGCAACAAATTATTAATGATCAAACTGTATCCATGAGTCAAATGCAGAATTAGAGAGTGCAATTATGTGCCATCTGGTAACAGTATGGCGTATACGTATATGGAATGTCAGAAATGATAAGGCATTCAACAGTATATATGGCTCGGTTGATATAAGAAGGAAGATTGACTTGATAGAGGCTAGAGCTAGCATTCCATTAAATAAAACACAGAGGAAATGGTGGCAATTCTTCATGATAGATTGGATTACAAACCCCAATCTTTAGTAATTAAAAGGACTGAAAATTTTATGCTCTACTACATCAGCGGATATGATGTGTATGAATAGGAACCTTTTATACTCTAAATTAATAAAATTAAATTTTGGTTGATAAAAAATGGGAAAAAGAAAGAAAGAATTGATTTATTGATGGTTGTGTTATATGGACAGTGAGAAATTTATCAGGCGGGAATAAGCTTTGGCACCGCCTATTTGATGATGATGATCATATCCTGGTTGTAATATGGGTTTGAATATCCTTGTATCCAATGATAAAGTTTGTTTGCTTTTTCAAAAAAAAGAATTAATTAAGCTTTTCTTAATTATAAAAGTTAATAGTGTAATAAATATACATTTTAATCACAATTAAGTCATTTAAAGTCCCCTAGGCGACATAAGTTTGAGCTTCCATATTAGAGATCTCAAATTCAAAATTTAGGATGAGTGGAGAGGGGTTTAGGAATGAAAGGGCTATTTTTTGTTGGAAAATGATATGTGCACACCCGGGTCAACACCCGGGTCAACACCCGGGTGTGCACACTCCCCTTTGAAAAAATAAAATACCCATCACCCACCCGGTCAAATTTTTTTTTTTATATGGGGGTGCACACCCGGGTGTTGGATCCGGGTGTGCACCAATCAAGGTCCTTTTTTGTTATATAATCTTCCATTTTTGGACATACAAAAAGTCATATAAAAAACAAATATTGACAATTTTAGTACTAAAGTTACACGTATGATTTTAATTGATTAATTCATTAATAAAATTAAAGTCAGTTTATATCTTTTATGTAACTTAATGACTAAAAATTTAAAAATATATTTATTGTATCCTTAATTTTAAGGTACATGTTAAAAAAACTAAATTAATTATATGTGAGCTAGTTGGTTTAGTAATAACAAAAAAAAAAAAAAGGTTGAATAATGACTATACTCCATCGTTATTTTTTTCCAAAAAGTGCAATTCAGGTCTGCCCTATTGAGGGGTTTTCTTCTATTCAATTATTTTGTAGTTTAAATTGTAAAATTACATAAAAAAAAAAAACTCTTATATTTTAATACTTAATTTGTCTCAATTAATTGTTATTTTTTTATTTTTCAACATTGGTAATTTTTTTTTTCAAATTTTAACTCTATTATTATTGTTTAACTTTAATTATTCCCATTAGTTTACAAGCAATTGATATCTATTACTTAACTGTTTAAAATTAAAGTATAACTAGACTTGATGTTTACAAACACGTTAATAAGTTGTTTAAAGAAAAATAGACATATATTAATAAAATCAACCAAACCAAATAGACCTAAATATATAGATTAGGATAGGCTTGTGTCAAAAGACCTAGTTCTTTATCTCCACGGAAGTTGGTGGTATACTTTGATCTTGAATGGAGTTAACGTTCTTTCACCACACAATTTACATTATCCAAACTAAACCAATTGATGACTATAGAGATTCAAAATTTTAAAGCATAAAATTTTTTTTATCTGCATTTTAAAGGCATAAATTCAAGCTACACATCTTATTTTTAGTTCAAGGTTCAAGAGTTAAGATAAAGAAATTGATTAATGATTGATATAATTTTTAGTTTAATACACTCACTTACACCTGCTAATTTTATGATTATAATTTACGACTTTAAGTTTTTCTGTGTTTAATTCCAAATGGAAAATGATTGGTATGATGCAATACTTATCTAGTTTAATTATTAAAATATAATATAAATATAATTAATTTATCCAATCCCTACATCTGTATGCATAATTGTATTTTTAATTTATTTATCTTTTATTCCAAACAAGAAAATAATGATTTTTTAATTACTTTTTAATAAATGTATTTTAAGTATGTTAAATTAAAAAATATACTAATCAGTATCCATTCCTAACTGATAAAAAGTAATTGTTTTTTAATAAATACATTATAAGATATGTTAAACAAAAATGTGTTTATATAAGTTTCATTTATTTAAATACACTATATTATATATAGATATAGGAGTTTAGGGGCACATGATCTTATCCTTGGTATTATGATGTCTTCCTGTCCTCAAAACTTCAACCCTAGGGTCCACCAAGAATTCCTCCTGCGGCCTCTACCATTGATGGATTTCCCTTACAAGGTACAATTCAATTCATCTCTAGAAAAAATTCCTCTGCAATTATTGGTTTTCACCGTAGTTTATTTTTTAATATTATTTGCTCTCCAATTTAAACTATATATACACCAATCCCAACCCCTCATCACTCCGATAGATCCCAAATCCCATCACTCAGAATTCAAACATCTGAATCTAATTTTTCTCTTAGAAGCCATGCATCGTTGCCAGTCACATACCAAGAACTTTGCTAGCAAAATCCTTAACCTCATCCACCACCAAAAACAGGAAAAATTTCCAAAACAGCTACATCGGCACAGCGACGTTTTCATTAACCATCGAGGGATTGACACCAAGAGAACCATTTCTGGGTTGCTTTACAACCATCTAGTCCGCCTTGGTCTCAACCCGTTTTTGGACACCAAGAACATGAAGCCCGGCGACCGGCTGTTCGACAAAATCAACCATGCTGTTCGACACTGCAAGGTCGGGGTTGCTGTCTTTTCGCCGCATTATTGTGAATCACACTTTTGTCTCCACGAGCTGGCTCTGATGATGGAAACTAAGAAAAAGGTCATTCCAATCTTTTGCGACGTGAAGCCTTCGCAGCTCCAGGTTAAGGACGACGGTTCTCGTCCTGTTGAGGAGCTACAGAGGTTCCGTTGGGCCCTTGAGGAAGCAAAATACACTGTTGGTCTCCCATTTGACTCATTCGAAGGGTTAGTACAAGAAATGTTATTAAAGTATATTTTTCTTTAACATTCTTTCAATTTATTGCAAGAAAAATGGCCCAAACGTGGAATATATATTCTTTACTAGAAAAAATATGTGAACAATATTGACCATAATTAATTAATTAGGCCCCCATCGGAAAAAATAATATATATGAATATATATATATTTTAAATATTGATGATTTTTCTTTTTGATTTTGTAGGGATTTGTCGGAATTCTTGAAGATAGCTACAAAGGCAGTGATGAATAACTTGCTGGAAATTGAAGATGAAGAAGAAAACAGACGTACGGAGTATGATAGGCTGAGGTACATGAGAAAATATATTGATCAAAAAAGGATGTAGGAATATGTTTCTTTCTGTATATGTGCTCATAAGCGTTTGATCAGAACAACGTAGGATGAATACAAAAGAACT